TGATAAGAATCTCAGGTATTTCGATTTCAGTGGTTGAAGGTCTGGGCCTTTTTATTATGTTATTTTATAAGGAAAATAACAAATTTGGTATTTGGGTAGGATGAAATCCGAATATATATTAATGAGTCTTTGTAATTTGCTTCTTATAGTGTTTCTTCAAATATATTTTTAGAAATAAAAAGAGGTAAATAACTTTCAGTGACATCTTAAAAACATTTCGGAACATCTACCCAAAAGCTTGAACCCAATTTGTCTTAATGACATGCCGGGCTTCTCTCAATAAATTCTTCTTAAAAAGCTTTTTTTCAGTCTATTTTCTCGTCCGAAACCGCGGAATCGAAAAGCTACATCGACAGTACAACAAAAATTCCCGGCTGACAAACATCAAGGTTTCAAAAAATGCTACGCGGATTCGTTTTTAATCCACTTGTTTTCCTAATAAATTTCGGATCGGGTACGACTTTTTGTCGTGCCACGTAAATTTTCCAGGATTTACGCCATTCGAAAGATTTAAAAGTGGATATATGTTTGTCATTAGTAGATGTTAAAATAGCTTTTAAATGGCGTTTGATTTTCAGTAGATATATTCGATGTTTTAAGTTTAACACTTCTAAGAAAGGATCTAGAATGTATACCTAACATCCGGCTTTTTTTTTTTTAATATTCCGCTTTTGATCATTTGAGAACACCGTAAAATCGGTACATCCCGGTTACATGGCAACTTTTAACTGTAGTTTAAATATGAACTACCAAAAATTATTTTATTGTTAACCATCTACACTTTTGAGGATACCTAAAACCGTTGTGCCTGTTTCGTAACATGAATGCGGTAGAAGGTTTTTCAACGGAATTATATGTTTTTTGGGGTGCTGAATACGAATCTGAAGTTTGCTGCCTCATAGCAGTACCATCTCAGGTCGAAAAACGCGAAAAGCCTCGAAATTTTCGAACTTTTTCCGGTTTTCTGGTAATATCTTGCAAATCACGCATCGTACGAAAAATGTCATGATATTCAAAGTTGAAGAGCATAAAATTCTGCGTCCAATAATTTCCCTAACCTTGTTACTGCTAAATTTATAAGCTCGCCATCGTCAGTCGAAGAAAGCCAATTTTAATGAACTTTTGTGAAAACTGCAATAAACTTACTTATACGAAGGAGAGTAGAATAAAATGGACATTGCCATAGAGCGTATTTCCACACTATACTACAACTTACTAGCTCTTTTTCTTCAGCTGACAATATGGTTTTCCCATGATTTTTCCCAATATATAGGTACCTACATAATTATTATGTATATTGTATAGGTATATTCTCTCATCTTGTTAATCTTAATGTAATAAATGAGTAAATATTTTTCTCTGTAAATGGGTATCTACTGATTGTAGGAGTTGCGAGTTCTCAGGACCGCATATTTTTCTTTCGTGGAGTCACACATTACTTATGGAATTACATTTATTACTTATGGAATTACATTTTGGGACTGTTGCAGTAGGTACTACAAATTTCAACTCCATATTTTATATTTATTTATCATAGAATTTTGACTGTGCCCATGCTTCAAAAGTGTTTGCCTGGTCTATAGGCAATACTATGACCAACTTTCTTCGGCTGGGCACTATTCAATTAGGCAAACCAATAATATTCCACTGCCAATTCCCAGAAGTACCTTGGTGAAGAACTCTTTTGTTTATTTTTCCAAGAAAGCTTTCAATTTTCTACTATCCAGCGTTAGGTCTTCACGTTTATACGGGAGGTTTAGAAAAGGTGTAATGGAGTTACTCTTGACTAAAGCCTACTACAATATTGAAGAATTCTTTAGAGACACTTGCTTTGTCAATAAGAAATTTTTCCTGGACAATAAAGTACTTCTTAATTTGATTTGATTACTTCCTATTATATCTACATACATAATACTTATAAATCCTCAAGTCAGACTTACAAAAAATGGAGGAAGAAGTAGTTTAGGGTTGACAAGTGGGGTTTGAGAAGTAGGGGGTTTGAACCCCTTTATTTTGTCAAATAAGCGTTTAGAGGGAAAATGAAGAAATTATCAGTATGCGTATACATATATTGATCCAAATTTAAAATTTTGGTGCTCAATGAACTCAATATTTGGTAAGTACATCTTCAAAGATTTTTTTAATTAAAGTGGTTGTTTTGAAATGACTGTCGTCTAAAAGTAAGTTTATTGCAGTTTTCACATAATTTCATTAAAATTTGCTTTTTCCGACTGACGATGGCGGGCTTATAATTTCAACAGTAAAGGGGTTAGGTAGATCATTCGACGTGGAATTTTATGCTCTTCAACTTTGAATATTATGACATTTTCCGTACGATGCGTCGTTTGCAAGATATGACCAGGAAACCGGAAAAAGTCCGAAAATTTCGAGGTTTTTCGCAATTTTTGGCCTGAGCTGGTTCTGCTACGAGGCAGCAAACTTCAGATTCGTATTCAGCACCACAAAAAACATATAATTCCGTTGAACAACCTTCTACCGCATTCATATTACCAAAAAAATTACCATTTGATTGGACAACTCCTTGTGCTGAACCCAAACAAATAGGTATAAATTGATATCCATTAATTCTACCTACGATAATAAGTCCAAGTTTTCACCTTTCTGTGCTTTTAGCGTTTTTTTTTTCAGTTTTTTTCAGATGTATCTACCTATTTGTGCAACATCAATTACCTATTCGATTTTATATGTGGTCTGTTTCTAACATTTGACTTGGTTTACTTATGTTTTTTACGGTACACTTTGTTTTCAGCGAGTGCAAAATTGTTCAGAATATTATCATAAATACTATATTCAAAATTCTATAGTGGCTATTTTATAGGTACAGAGATACGACGTTCGTTATATTTAGGCAAAACTGCGTAATTGCTAATGTTGTTTTGAAATTTCAAAAATCTCAGAAGATATTCGAAAATAAATAAATTCATAATTTTATGTATGTTGATTCCGCGGCTGAGGTTCTTTGTGCAACATGATATCTATATGTATGTTTGGGAATAAAACTCGCATTTATATGATTCATTACGATTGTAGGAATTCTATAATCATTATTGTTTTGACTTGTTAGCACTTTCTCAAGAAAAATATACTTAAGTGAACTGAAGTTGAGAAGAATTATTGTGAATGAGGTGACTCAAAAAACAGGTAGGCTACATAATACAACCTTTTGGGCTTTTTTGTTTATGATATACTTTTTATGTTATTAACATGAAATTCCAGTACTACTGAAATGTGTATCTTGTGTTTCATAAAAACATCCATCTACAACTATCTTAAGACATAAAAAATGCGTCTTTTCCGAAAATCAAATCATAAAATTCAGGGTTCGAGTTCCTTTTAAAAAACACTCCATCCATGATGTAAACTTTTACTTTTTGGTTCAAAAGATTTTTGACACAATTTTTGAATTTTGAAAAAAAGAATTCATTTGGAAGACTTTTTTTTTGTTTTTTTCAAAAATACAAAGTCACAAATTAGCACCTGTTCAGTAGGTACCTATTGGTTGACTAGGTACATTATACCTACTCGTTGACTATAGGTAGGTACATTATCTACTATTAACTCTACTTCATTCAAATTTGTCAATTTTAGTTCACTTAGGTATATTTTTCCTGAAGAGGGCCTGAAAAGCCGGAACCAATTGTGGAAATTCTACAAATAGGCATGAGCATGAACGCGATGTTTATTTCCAAACAAAGCAATTCTTATTGTTCTACCTTTGGAAAAGATTCTTGTAGACACGTTGTCGGTATACCTTACCTCCACTTAATTAGGTATGGAAGCATTATTTTCTTTTTTATTTAATCAAAAAATGTAGAAAATCATGTTAAATTTGATTAGGCATGTCAACTTGGTAAAGAAGAACAAGTGGCAGTGGAGTATGATTTATTTTGAAATACTCATAGGCTTAGACAAAAATAAAAGCAATTTTGACTAAATTTTTTTGATATACTCTAAATTTTTCAAATTTCAACACAACATTTTCTTGAGGATTAAATTGCACTATTCTGTCTCAACTTAACTAACTTCGCATCTTTTAGGTACACTTTTCAATATATATTTATACCAACTTGCAAGACTTGGTACCACCACAAATCTGCAGTTTACTTCTTGATGGTCATTCCTAAGGTACTCAATGCCTTTTTAAAATTTTCAAATCGGTTGTTCGCAAAACTACCTCAAAATACCTATGTAACTTTGGCGCCCAATCAATCACCAATCGCAAATGTTTTCAAAACAGATTAATTACCAAAACTAAGGTACATACCTACTTATATATTATTATTTACTGAAAACGATAAAGAAAAACAAAAATAATTTCAAGAAGAAAAAACTCATTTCAGCTAGGTATAATATATCTCGTAATTGAGTAAAATTTTTTGAAATTGGTAAATTGCATCAGAAAAAAAAAAAAAAAAAAATAGAGAAACATTCAGGAATTATTATCCATAAATATATCTATGTTCTAAGAAACTTCACATAGCAGTTTTTCATGGATTAGATTGAGATTCGAGAAATAGATCACACCTATATGAAGAGGTTCTGTAAGTAGGTACATACCTGATTTCAGAATATTTTATTTATTTTTCTTTATTATGAGGAAAACTATGTTGAATTAATTATTATTAATTTAAAGAATTAAAATATCTCTTAGCAAAAGTCAATGTAATCATGAAGAATTTGATACAATACCTACCTATTGATGGTCATCAATCATCATACCTATTCTTATCTATAAATTAAAGTTTCAATCTAGATACATATATTTTAAAAACGACTTCCATTATCTCTCGAAGTACGACACATCTTTATTTATTTTCGAATAATTATATTAGATTTGCTCTCCATCATCCAATATCTGCAATTTGATTTTTTCTACACTCAATACATCAAAACTTTTCATGAATCTTAATTTTATTTAAGTTTTTCTTCCATTAATTTTACGAAAAATAAAAGTTTTAGGCAAAAGTAGAAAGACTAACCTGTTGCCAAAACTGAGCCAACAAATAAATCTTCTCCTTCTTGAATAGCCATTCCATACTTTGCATCGTTTGGAGGTCCATTTCTCCACCGCTTGGAGGCACGTTAGCAGCCGTTGTTGGCTGCATTAAGACCAATCTTTCTTCCAACTCGGCCAGTTTGGATAACTTCCCGTATCAGCTTATCAGCGAAAATTCTATCAGTTTAATCAATCCAAATTTTCAATCATCGCAGTTTTTTTTGGTGATCATCATTATCAACATCAGTTTATTGAAGCACATCATTCACTGTTCAATTAATAACATCAACAATCACAGTCTTTGAAACGATAATAGTCATTCTTGAATTTTCACGAGTCACCAACAAAAAAAAAATATCCACCTAAATGTCACTTAACTAATTTTTTTTTTTCAAATCACGCGCGTCTTAAAAATTAATCAAAAGCTGATCTCAAGAAAAACGTCTTTTCCGATTTGAATGCACTTCGTCTTTGACGTGTGCCGACACCACTAAAGTCACGTGTTCATCGGAGAAAAGACTTCCCCGTACTGAATTGACATCCTCAAACTCCTCACTGCAAGTTTGTGCACGCTCTCGTTTTTCACGTTCTCTCACTCACACCTCGCACGCTCCGCCCATCCTATTGGTAGCTGGTGCCCTCTGACGGGCAACAGCCATATGCCGGTCCTTGTCTGTTGCATTGCAAGATGGATTGAAAGGTTATGGTCCGTCTCGAGCCGGCTGGGCCAATAGTGGATTGCTTTGCTTCGGATATATTTTCTTTTTTCCTAGAAATCGAAGTGTGCGCGTATATCTTTTACCCCTTCTCTCTTATTTTATATGTATTGTGTTTTTTTTTCTTTGGCGATGTGTGTGGGGTGAGGAGGTGCGCAAATTCGCTTTTTTCTTCATGTATTTTTTTTTTTTTTTTTGGAAGGTTCGTTTTTTAGCGTAGGCTATGAAACTGAAGAAGATGCCTCAATAGGCATTAGGGGTCTATAATTATCATTTTGAGGTATATATACACAGGTGGAAATGGAAAACGTGCTTTAACTGGAGTGAGGTTTAATTTTTTTATTGTAATTTATATTCATACATAGGTATATTAAATTTCTATTTCTCTTGAGCTAGGTAATTACTAACTTGGAAAAAAAATGACTGAATTGTTTATTTAGATTTCAAGTGCGTTTATGAACATGATTACAATAACGAGTGTGAAAGATTAGAACTCTAATCACAACGTTCTAACCACAAGAGTTTTGTATAGTAAGTAATGTTTAAAGTTTAAACGCACGTGTGATGTACAACGTTTTATCCACAAAGCGAAAAATAGGAATGTTTTTTCAATCATTTTCGTTGTAATAGTTGTCTACCTTCACTTTACCTTTACAGGTAGGTTCAACTATGACATTTGTCAAATAATCAAATCACAAAATCTAGTTATGTTATAGATTCATAACCTAGTCCATATAACACCATACTAGTTGTGTTATGAGTCTCATGACATAACTCAAATACTAGAAAAATGGTTATGTAAAAACGTCATAACCAAACGCTTGTATAGATAAATATAAGTACTTATTATTCACCCATTTCAATAAGTAAGTTGGTACATTATAGAATATCTAACTCAAAATGAGTAAAAATCCAACCAGTTAGGTCTCAAATTTGTGACATTGATATGTAATCTATTCTGATTATTTATTAGTAATGCAACAATTCCGATTCCGATTACCATAGACTAAGGACTACTCACTTATCACAATTATTAATAATTTTCAGTGAATAACTAACAAAGGCATATTTTTTAATCTACTTATGGGAAAGATGACTGTACTTATAGGTATCTAAGTTGTAGTTAGTTGGTCCGTGACTAACGTGAAATATAAGAAGCTGTTGAATTTTTATAGTGATTGTAGTGCAAAAAAAAAGAATCTTCACATCTTCAAAAAGTCAATAGGAATTGTGCCTCAGCTCACAAAATAAACAGTAGAATTATTATGTTCATTATTGGGAAGTTAATAGGTGACCTCCATAATTATCTATTTAGGTGTATAGTAAATAAATACCTATATGCCATAATGAGTTAACTATACGGAATTGTGCACCTTGCGAGGCGAGTATGATCAAAGGAGTGGGTTTTATTACAATTAAAAGGGTCGTTAAGTATTCTACTATTCTACAGTATATCAAGGATATATCTCAGGCAGACTGGCGTATCTATACTATACTTGCTAAGTACAATAGGTATATTTGAAATGAAAAAAAATATAGGTACTACCTGATAATTAGGTACCTATCTAATAATCATACGTGAAAAGAACTAGATATATAGCAATGAATGGGTATGTCGAAAACTTTTATGAAAAAGTTGTAATCAAAATTGACATACTTATAGGTAATAGAAGACTTGAAGACTTTTAACATCTTTTCTTCAAGCCAAACTAAAAAGAAAAATGAATAAGGAAGATAATAAAATAAACGGTTTAGATGGTATAGTTACGACCTTAGTCGAATAAATATACAAAGATAAGTCCAATGACACAACCAAAAATGATATTCTTTTATACAGTTCTTGTCCAGTAAGGTAGAAAAAAAAGGGAATTACCAGAAACTAGACAAGTAAAAGTGAAACAGAGACATGAGAAGAAAATAGACAGATAGATATCATCAGATACAAAAGCTTCAGAAAATACATACCTAACTAATTTTGACAAATAAAACAGAAATACTACCGAAAACAACAGTTAGGTAAAATATAAAGTGGAAAGAGCTATATCAAAAAAAAAAAAAAAAAAAAATAGGAAAACGAATACAAAAAAAAACATGAAATGCCTGAAACCGTAGCTCGACTTTATAGAAGAAGAAATTATAAATTATCAAATGATGTTATACAGGGTGATTCCAAAAAGGCGCATAAGCTCTCCACTACGTCATGGGGGAACATTCACGGAACCCCAGAAAAATGGTTAAAATAATGTAAAGTTCCTCTTAACAAATAAGTTATTAGAACAACACAGAGTGATAAAATTGACAACATCTTAAGTACTTCCACCTATATTGGATTATACCTCTGTTCTAATAATGGACCTTGTGCCTGTCCTCAGCTTTGTCCAATAAACCTACGGAGTATGACAGAATCGAACTGGCGGCCAGGTCTACACTGAACCATGATTTAAGTATGCTATTTTGTTTTTTTAATCTTACAAAACATCAGTCCATAGGGTAAAGCCGGCTGGTAAATAACCGAACGAAACTTTTTTTTTATTACGCATGCATCATAATCAACGATTATCGCACGCTGCAGCGTGCATAAAATGATGTTTAAGATGCGCCTACCATTTCAAAGGTTTGCTATGGAAACGTTTGATCTATACCTTTATCACCTAGATACCTGCCGTTCAAATTACTATTTATCAAAATGAATATGAACACATTTAAAACATTTTTGAGATTATAATGCATTCGTTATAAAAAATAGCGTATAATATGCGTGTATAAGAGCATTTAAAGCCCTTGCGACTTACAAAACACTCCGCTGCGCGTCGTGTTTTGAAATATGTCGCGCGTGCTTTAAATGCCCTCTTATACACTTATATCATAATATATTAGTTTTTCACTCCGCATAGGTTGGTTGGACAGAGTATAATTTTATTAACTTTTACCCTAACCGCCGCGGTACTCTACCTATTTAATATCTTATCAGATAATGTTGCTAGATTCATTTTTTGGATTTAGAGGTAGAGATTTTATAGTTTGCAAAAGTTAATTTAAAAGGTAGAATCCAACTAATGTGATCTTTTTTCTCATAGATCAATACAAGACATCTGGAACTTTACAGGGAATATCGCAGTTTAAAAAAAAAATCAGAAATAAAAAAGTTGACTTCTCAACTTGACTTCTTCATATCACCAAGATTGGTCGAGGAGGATTTTTTCCACTGTTTTCCTGGAATTCCCTGAAGGGTCCCCCTCGACGTAGTGGAGAGCTTATGTGTCATTTTGGAATCACCCTGTATAAAGTAAATTATCCAAATAACACGTATGTACATGACACATAACAAAAATCATCGCAAGAGATTTATAGCGAACTTCAAGTTGAAATTGAAAATGTCAACTTATACATATTATCCGTTCACAATCCGATGTCCACAGGTACAGGTAAAATTTATCCCCTTTCAATGCTATTTGATACCGAAAGGTGATAAATTTACCTGCACCTGATGTGGACATCGGATTGTGAACAGGATATATACAAGTATCAGGTTTAAGTATATGTGATAATATGGCCTATTTCAAATTAAGACTGTCAAATATTTTAACATGAGATTTCATGCCCAACCTGTCCTATTACCCATGGGCCAATTGTTAGTATTTTCGGAGTTATCGCAGAATATAAATTTAGAAAAATGTTAACAATGTGACAACATTGTACAGATCCTGGGCATTTGAAATAAAATATATATAACAACATAGGTAAATTTGAAAAAAGGTTTGTTTTTTTTTTTGCAATGAGTTTATTTTCACGTCGGGGAAGTTAGCAACACATTGGAAGCAGGATCTTTAAAATGAACCTCTTCTTGTGCTGCTATATTATTGCTTTGCATTGCTTCAAACTACAACCCAGCAACACCCATCGTTTTCGGAATATATCGATTTCCATTTTGGTTGCTTACTTCCCCCTTGGCAACATATTGGAAACATGATCACTAAAACAGGTTCCTGCCTCATCCTGCTTCAAATCTGACCTCGGCAACATGTACTATTTTCGAGATACATCGATTTTTATTTTGGCTGTTAACTTCACGCTTGGCAACACACTCGAAGCAGGATCGCTCAAACATGTTCCTGCTTGCTATAGTCCTGCCTCATCCTGCTTTAAATCACACCCTGGCAACACTTCCTATTTTCGAGATATATAGGGATTTCCATTATGGTTGGTAGCTTCACACTTGGCTTTGAGGTTATACAAATTGAAAGCAGGATTGCTCCAAAATTTTCCTTCTTGCGTTGCTATGGTCCTGCCTCAAACTGCTTCAATCACCACAGTAACACCTAATATTTTTGACATACACATTCGTAGCATAACAAGAGTCAAGTCGTAGGAATACGGCAAGCTCGAGACACCGTTGCCAAATGGATCGTAATGAGTGCTTGTCTCTGTATGTTGGTATTTTCGACGAAAAGATCTCATAGAACCATAGCAACACCAGCTGGAACATGTTTGAGCGATCCTGCTTCCAGTGTGTTGTCAAGGGTGAAGTTAGCAACCAAAATAAAAATCGCTGTATCTCGAAAATAGTACGTGTTGCCGGGGTGTAATTTTATGCGGGATGCGGCAGGACCATACCAACACAAACAGGAACATGTTTGAGCGATCCTGCTTCCAGTGTAATGCCAAGGGTAGCAAACAAAATAAAAATCGCTGTATATCTCGAAAATAGTACGTGTTGCCGGGGTCAGATTTGAAGCAGAATGAGGCAGGACATGCTTAAGCGATCCTGCTTCGAATGTGATGCTAACTTCTCCGAAATTTTATTTCCGCCTGTTTTGGTTCTGGTTTATT